CGGCGATTGCTCACGATGCTGATGTTTGCCTTGGACATTTTCGAAGGATTGTTAAAAACCAACAAAAGCAAACATCCTTGGATCAGTTCTTTCCAAAACACCAGGTAAAAACCACTTTTGAGAGAGAAAATGAACTAAAGGGGGCAAAAAACGATGTGGACGCAGTTAAAAGTTAAATGACCGTCATTTTTATTCTTTACCCCAGTGTTTTTCAACCCCTGTGCCGTGCCGCAAGACGTTGTCAGGTGTGCCGCGGGAAAATATCCAATTTGTATGCCTATGCAGTGTATCGCCCAGAAAGTAATCGTGTAGTACTCTCCCATACCGCTAGGAAGCAGCAACAGCTAGCCAATTGCCTTGTGTTTCGACGAGAGACAAGCAAATTTGTGAGGCATGAATGCAGGACGAAAGATGAGAAAATACTTTTTTTGTTGTGTTCATTTGATTCCAATTCAAGCTGTTATAATGTCATTCTTCAATGCTAAAAACGGTTATAGTAACAGTATAACACATTAATTATTCAAATAAGCGTTTTTTTTTTTCACATTTTCAGCTAGTGGTGTGCCTTGAGATTTTTCCAATGAAAGAAGTGTGCCTTGGCTCAAAAAAGTTTGAAAAACACTGCTTTACCCGATTCATTGTTTTTTTACATTATGCACAACTCCCGTTTATTGTGCAATAATCTAATTGTAACGTGTATTTGTTACATATTTTGATGCTTTAGAAAACATTAACATCTGAATTTTTTTGGGGGGGGGGGGGCTTGTAACGGATTAGGGCATTTACATGGAAAACGCATCTCTACTTGTAGTTTCAGAAATTTCTTCCGGCACCAATTCATTTCGTAAGTCGAGGTACCACTGTATATGTTCGATATTTTTTGGGGCTTGATTTCCTGGAATGTGCCCGGTGTCAACATGCTATTAGCATGAATCCTACTGTATGTCGCTCTATTTCCTGCATCTGATAATTCGATGCTGACAACTCACTCCCGTATCGCAGATCAATCCTGTCATCTAAATTTGGGGTAGACGTAATTTATTAATTTTCTCAAAATATCTTGTAGATTCACTTTAACGTGGTTGGTAAACATGCTGTTAGCATAAATTCAAAGTAGCCACGTTTCCTGCGTTTGCTGATTTCTATGCTTCAAACTCACTCCTGTCACTCTCAGTCCTGTTGGTCAAGTGAGAAAGTCGAGTCAGGTTATTGACAGTTACTAAGTTATGATAGAAACCGTGGTAAGCAATGTAAAGCTAGCTTGGCCGTTCAACTGTAATGTGCTCGGTGTCAACATGCTATTAGCATAAACGCTACTGTATGTAACTATATTTCCTGTATTTGATAATTCGATGCTAAAAACTCACTCCCGTATCGCAGGTCAATACTGTCATCTAAATTTTGGGTGGACGTTATTTATTTTCTGAAAATATCTTGTACATTCACTTTAACGTGCTTGGTGTCAACATGCTGTTAGCATAAATTCAATGTAGCCACGTTTCCTGTGTTTGCTGATTTCTACGCTTCAAACTCACTCCTGTCACTCTCAGTCCTGTTATTCAAATGAGAAAGTTGAGTCAAGTTATTGGCAGTTACGAAGTTATGATAGAAACCCCGGTAAGCAAAATCAAGCTAGCTTAGCTGTTTCCAAAGCCCCCGTAATGCTTCACATCAGAAGCACTCATGTGCACTGTTGTGGAAATTACAAGCCGACCTGTCTCGTAATTTGTTGTATCGGAGGGAAGATGCATCAAAGCATAATTGTAAAAAATGCAAGTTAGACAGCGTTTCGACATCAGGCAATTATTTCACCGCTGTGAGACTAAGTCACGACGCGTGTGGCTTTGCTGGGTCACGCCCCCGCCTTCCACCACCGCCATCCAGTCGCTTTCAATATCTCATCAGATTGAATTACAGCAGGGTGGTGCTCCAGTGAGGAAATGAAGCCACGTGTGTGTCTCTCTCTTAGTGCATCAACTTCAGTCTATGCGCGTTTCTAATGTCTTTCTCATGCTCGTTTACATCATTGTTCGGGGTTAAAAAAAAAGCAGCATGGTTGTTTGATCAATAAAGGGAGTAAATGAAGCTCTCCTTCATGAGATGGCCCTCTCCGGATAGTTGAACCTAGGCGCATAAATCTTGATTTCCCCCGCGGCTAATCCGATAACGGTCGGGCTTCGCTGGAAATCAAGCGATCATACTCCACCAGGTTACCGCCAAAGGAAATGGCCCGGCCATCGTGAAAGCAGCGCTTCCTCTTTTTCACCCGTCTGACGGGTAGAGCACTTCATCATATTGTGGCGCGGCCTTAATAAAAAAATTGATAAAATTTCCAAAAAAATACAATAACAGGCTCATGGGAAATATTTACACCATTTAGGATTATATTTCTACGACCATTGGGCAATCGCACTGATTTATGAATTTAATGTGCCAGTCGATGTTAGGCATTTATTAGATTTGTGGTGAAATTACCAGCTGGAGCGAACATCAATTGCAGAGAAACTTTATAAACATCACAGCGGTGACGGTAAGGAATTTTGTGGTTTGCTCCTGGGAAAATTTGTATAAAATGAATGATAGTCTTTATTTTCTTTGTCGTAAATGGTTTATGAAAAAAAAAACAATCCAAGCAGTTCAGAAATAATAAAGATTATAAACATACTAACTGAACAAATGGATTAGCCAAATTAATTTGACGTATGCCCTAAAATAAGCTTTTTGATAGGGGAAGTAAAAGTAAACAAATAATGTGTTGGCAAAAGTATAACTAGGGCAAACCAAATGGCAGCCATGAAGGTGCCTCTCATAAATACATCTCTGATGTTCTAGTGGGCTTTTTCTGACATTTTTTCCCCGCAGCAGATAAGGTTTTGTGCTAATGCTAACTGGTATTTGGAACTGTTCATAATTCACTTCCCCTTTATTAAAGGCTCAGTTGCAGCAAGATTGGATATGTTGAGTTGAGGGGACAGTTAAACACAGTGGGAGGAACCAAACTGACAATTCGTGGACGAACTGAATGGCGATTAGAACCCAGAAACATAGACACAAACAAAATACGGAATTAAACATATTTATCTATTGACAAAGGTGCACCGACAAAGTAGAAACAGAAATCACTGGTCACGAAGAGCCAGGAAAAAACAAAAAAGCGCTTGCAAAGGCAAGATAATCGTCAATCTGAGAATATAAACGAAATAAGAGTCCAATTTCAGCGAAACAAAACAAGCGCAAAATCAAAAGACAAAATAATATCAATACTTATAAGCGAGAAACTCGAGCGCAAAAACGAGAATGGCGAGATTGAGAGGTCTCCAAAACAACACTTGAGCACGAGCAGCAAACAAGGTCATTAATTTAAATCCAACAGAGACTTGGAGATTAGGAAGTCCTTAAATACAAGGCTAACTTGATGAACACATTGGCAGCGGGTGTGCACGCTGGAGGAAAATCCCTCCTCTGCCACCTGCTGGAGGCACCCAAGAACAGGATCGTGGCAAAAATCACTATGCGCGTACACTTTTAAGTGTGAGTTAACAGATGCTCAGTCAATCTGCACGCGTGAAAGCGAGCGTTTTATACGAGGCCATAGGGTTCATCCGAGAAAAGTGCTTCTCATTTCGCCCCCTGTCTGAATGCCTATAAAGCTGCTTTCAGCATTTCTCAACCAAAAGCAATCAAAGACGATGATTCCCAAAGACACAGATAAGTGTGTAAATGTCTATTGAGTGAGTCCGGGGCTTTTCCTTTCGAAAGGAATCTGCTCCCAAGAGGCTCCTCCTACACGCAGCTGCTCTCTTTTTGACACCATTGCCGTTCGGATATATGGCTTCACATGCGCAGCCCTCATGAGTCCGTATTGGGTTCGTGAAACTTTATTCTCCACACCTCGCCTTCGTCTATCCGTCATGCTTGTCCAATCGCTTTCTCATCCTATTAAGACTCGGGGGGGGAGAGAGGGGGGTGGGGGTCCCAGAGGAAACTGCTTGTCGGCATGCTGGCTGGAGATCAAGCTGAGAGGCGGCAAGGCCAATGCGGGCTTTGGATAAAAGTGCAGCCGGACCAAAAAAAAAAAAAAAAGACGAAAAGCGGCTCGGGTGGAGAGCAATCAGCGCCGCGGACAGCTCAGTGAGGCAAACGTACGATCTTTTGTCTATTATCATCTTTGAACAGTGCTCACCAATTATTCACTGGGCTCAATGCACTGGGAATTGCTTTAATTGGGATTTTTGGTTTATTACTTGTCGTGCTGCAGCAGCTTTAGAATTACAGACCATATGTATATGTCTGTATATCATATTGCCGGAGCCTGTCCCAGCTGACTTGGGCGAAAGGCGATTCGCCCCCTTAAACTGGTGGCCGGTTAGTCACAGGGCACATAAAGAGACGAATAACCATACGCACCCACATTCACTGAGTGAAAACCGATTCCACGCTGCCCCACACGCATTTTAGGCGAGTGTACCATGACAGCATCAGTGACAAATATCAAATAATATTCTACTGTACTGTAGAATGAAACCAAAGATCAAAAACCTGTGTTTTGTTTCAAACGTAAATTCGGTAAGCGGTACAGAGACAAGGCAAGGAGACTGTTGACATTTGTCAACAAGTCCTTTCGCCAATGAGGACGCAGAACAAAAAGCACTGTTTAAAAAAAAAAAAAAAAAAAAAAAGGATCTCTCTCTCTCTCTCTCTATATGTAATTTTTTGGGAGGGGGGGCGGGGGGTGTGCATCTCTCCAATAAAAGATGATTCGATACATGGGGTGTGTTTATGATTCAGGGATGGTTTATTTTATAGTGGAACAATTTGGTTCGATTCGATGCACTCACATCATTTTGCAATGCAAATTGTTTTTCATTACACCCCTATTCACTCGTGTAAACCATCTACCATGGTAATTTAAGGATTTGAAGAAAAAAAAAAAAAGGACAATAAGTCTCACTTTGTTTCCTTTTCACTGAATTGAATTTGTGTTGCTTTGACGTCTCCAGATGGCCCGGTGATCTGGCGCATTCTGACCTACCCCCCAACGCGGCGAGCACTTCTGGTGGGCTGCGGCCTCCAGATGTTCCAACAGCTCTCCGGAATCAACACAGTCATGTGAGTTTCAAAGAGTTTCTCCTTCCCCGTTTTGTTCTTGTTATCTTTCCATCTGTGCCTGTCTCGCCGCCCCTTCGAGATGAACTATATTACCAAGCTCTGTAAACAATCTGGGGATGTGTGCTGTTGCCTGGCAACCGCCAGAGGAAAGGCAATAGGTTAAGTGTGTGCGTGCTCATCCTATTTTATTTAAAAAAAATAAATAAATAAAAATCGACACGCGCGTAGTTTACACTCGACACAAGTGCGTGTGTGTGCGTGTGTGGCTAAAATGAGCGCTGGCGAAACTGAATGTGACAGACAGGCTCGCCGAGGAAAATTTAGGCTGCTGGTAAGAGAAGTGAAACATTGAAAGTCCGTCGATTGTCTGCGCGCCTCTTTGAATGTACATTTATCTTCATCTTGACTCTCATTGTGACCGGCAGAACTCGGGGCTTAGGCTCCGCCTCTTTTCACAGCAGGCGTTCTAAAGTGTCTACGCTGTCTGCGTCAAAAGAAAAAAAAACCGAAATATGTCTGATGTTGACGTAAAATAATGTCCAATCGTTTGTTTGAATGATAGACTCATAAGTCATTCTCATTTCAGTCGTATTTATATTTTGGGGGGTCTGACCGATGAGTCAGATGATATGAATTCTTAAAAACAGCAAAAAAAAAAAAAAAATGTAAGACAGAGATCATGACATTCAAACGCCCCTTTCCCAAACTGACAAAAAATCTGAAGGGGGAAAATAAAAAAAAAGGGCAGATTTGTACTGATTTTATTCTCTGTTGCAAAGGTCAACAAATAGTAAAGCACAAAGTATTGCAAAGCCGTCAAACGTTTTGCCAATAATAGTTGGAAGCATCAAAGGACCATCAAATAAATTATTGGATTCATTTTTTTAATCCTTTTTTTTTTTCTTCATTCGGGGCAATTAATCAGTTATTCGTGAAAATAAATCCCCTCAAAAAATGCATATGCAAAAACTATTATGGGACTCTTTATAATGTAAACGCCTGCTCATTTTTCAATGTGTACGTAAAATAATTGAGATTAATGATTCACTAGTTCATTCTCATGTTTATTCATATTTTTCAAAAGCCAGTTTTTAAATAAGCATGTTTCGCCGCTCCCTGTAGGCTACTAATGTACAAACCCCTATATAAAAAAAAAAAAAGCATGTGACTAAATATATCCTTGTATGATAGATCATTTTATCACAGTTAAGCGATCACACACGATTACTCATTTCCCTAATTCTATTAGTAACGTGCCTTTTAATTATTCATCAATTTCTGTCCCCCCATACATGAGCACGTATGGATGACCATTAATCAGTTGCTGTGAAGGGCGTCCTGTATTTGCGAACATTCTGGACTCAGAGTAGTCACGCGTGTGATTATGAAAGACAAAATAAAAAAAAAAAAAATTCTGAAAGAACACCTCTGGGTTTCATTATCGGGTCTCAGCTTTGGTGCACTTTGTTCAGGGCTTGTGTTTTTTTTTTTTTTCCCTTTAATTGGCTGGGTCAGGTGCACCAAATTCAAGGGGAGATGTCAGGAGAGGTCGTGTGAACTCAGTGGTTGGTTATTATCAAGCTTCCCGACTGAGGTCTTCACTTTCTTCCCTGCAGACGGATCTAGTCTTACTCTGCCACGTATCACCGCCATGGGGTGCACTTCAAATATTTTGACACTGTCGCGTTGCAAGATAAACTATTGAGTGCAGAGGCTTGAAGGGGAAAAAAATAGATTAAGTGTGGCATCATGTGAATTTTGTGGAAAAGATTTTGTCCTTTTAAAGGTGTCAGGTTGACAGCCCATTACATCACAAAAAAAAAGAGATTTTTAGGGGAAAGGTGTGGACATTTTTTTTAATCTGACAATATGTGGAATAATGTGAGTGAAATAACAATTGTGTTCCCCCGCTGTCATCTTTCAAACCACCAAAAAGTTTTTGTTGAATTTGCTCAATTTTATTTCGTCAAGTGGAAATAAAACAAGCTTGTATTGGCCCCTTAAAAATGTATCTTGATCCAGATGATTTTATTTCGTGTAACCATTTGTCAAAATAAAATTGACAAAATTTGACACAAAAAAAACCCCCTTTCAAACCCAGAAGAGATTTTGAGGGGAAGGGGATAAAGGGCTTTTTTTAAAATCTGATCATATGCGGAAGAATTGTGTTCCCCTGCTGTCATCTTTCACACCAGTCGCTTCCAACACACCACCAAAAAGTTTTTGTTGAATTTGCTCAATTTTATTTTGTCAAGTGGAAATAAAATCATTTTGTCTTGGCTCCTTAGAAATATATCTAGGTTTAGATGATTTTCTTTCATGGACCCATTTGTTGAAATAAAATTGACTAAATTTAACCCCCCAAAAAAACCTTTCAAACCCAGAAGAGATTTTTTTGGGGGGGCGGGGAATAAAGGGCTTTTTGTTATCTGACAAGATGTGGAATACTTGTTTTCCCCTGCTGTCATCTTTCATGCCTGTGCTAAGTCGCTTCCAACACGCCACCAAATAGTTTTTGTAGAATGTGCTCAATTTTATTTTGTCAAGTGGAAATAAAATCGTGTATAGGTACATTAAAAATGTATCTTGATCCAGATGATTTTATTTCATGGAACCATTTGTTGAAATAAAATTGACTAAATTCAACAAAAACAAGAAAAAAAATTATTACTTTTTTTTCAGTGTATGTGGCAGAACATCTGACAGTTTTTGTTGTGTTTTGAACTCACATTTTTTCGATTTTGGAAGAGGGTATTTCACCACATTCTTTTTAATGTTCGTTTGCAAGATGCCTAATCACGCCGAAACTCCTCCTCCTCTTCATTCTGAAGCCAAATATAGACAGTTTTAATGAGGAATGTTCTTATCATCGCTCTAATCACACACAACACTCCATGCTCTCATTTGCTTAATACACAGCGGGCAGATGTCCTTAATGAAGCAGCACGTTTCAGATTCGATGTGCTCAAACGTGCAGAACACAAATGCAAATATTGGGTGATGAAGATGAATAAGCCTGGATGTACAGCACCCAGGGCATTTTTTTTAAAAATCAGAAATAAACCAAAAATTGAGGCCACACTTTACCTACATGAAAAATACTTTTGTTCGGATGTCGGTTTACTTTAAATACATTTTTTGAAAAAATAAATATTTTACTCTCATCAGGACTCAGTTTTGATAGATACTCAACGACTCAGGTGCAAAAAAAGTGTTGGCTTATTATTAACTGGGTTTTTTTTTCACTTTTTTGGGCCGGCTCGAACGGATTAATGGCATTACAAAGCATTTCAAAGGGGAAAATTGATTTGCTATACAAGTAAATTCAGTTTTGAGCTTTGAATTAAACTCACATTTGAGACCACTGCAATATTTCATTGCTTTAGCTAAAATTCCTCCTAATTGTTTTTGGTTCACAAAATCCCCCCAAAAAACTTTTTGAGGGTTTTAACTCAATTTAGTGACGTTTCCCAGTAGTTATACAGTACCACAAGCAACCTTTTTGGACCATTTATCAGAATTTGGACCAAAAATAAAACGAACACAGCTAATTGGTCCCTGTCAACCCCTGAGGGAAATATCAGTCCCGCACTTGCCGTATAGTTTGTAAATGAAATCACTTGCAGTTATATGGAGTTTTAATGGCAATTTTCATGTTGCCGGCTCCCGATCAGGGACAGGAAATTGCATTGTTAGGACCCTCACGTACAGTTCTCTACTCAGAGGTTAGATATGTATTTATACTTATGAATATATATGCGGTTGCATGCTGATATTTCACAGCATTGTGCATACATTTGGGGGAAAAAAATAGGTCACTTTGCGAGATAATATTCAATATGCCCTTGTAAGCACACCATTGAGAAAAAAAACAAAAAGTTCTCACTCACCAGTCTGTCGCTCTCATCTGTCTCCTTCCTGCCTCCTGGGGACTGTTTTGGTTTATCATTTGGCATTAACGTCCAGGAGTATATATCCGTGCTTCCAGACTTTGTTTTTCCCCAATTTCTCCGCTCATCCTCCTGCTCTGCTTCTCTGTGTGGCTGGCATTTTTTGGGCCGGCTCGAACGGATTAATGGCATTACAAAGCATTTCAAAGGGGAAAATTGATTTGCTATACAAGTAAATTCAGTTTTGAGCTTTGAATTAAACTCACATTTGAGACCACTGCAATATTTCATTGCTTTAGCTAAAATTCCTCCTAATTGTTTTTGGTTCACAAAATCCCCCCAAAAAACTTTTTGAGGGTTTTGACTCAATTTAGTGACGTTTCCCAGCCCTGTTAGTTATACAGTACCACAAGCAACCTTTTTGGACCATTTATCAGAATTTGGACCAAAAATAAAACGAACACAGCTAATTGGTCCCTGTCAACCCCTGAGGGAAATATCAGTCCCGCACTTGCCGTATAGTTTGTAAATGAAATCACTTGCAGTTATATGGAGTTTTAATGGCAATTTTCATGTTGCCGGCTCCCGATCAAGGACAGGAAATTGCATTGTTAGGACCCTCACGTACAGTTCTCTACTCAGAGGTTAGATATGTATTTATACTTATGAATATATATGCGGTTGCATGCTGATATTTCACAGCATTGTGCATACATTTGGGGGAAAAAAATAGGTCACTTTGCAAGATAATATTCAATATGCCCTCGTAAGCACACCATTGAGAAAAAAAACAAAAAGTTCTCACTCACCAGTCTGTCACTCTCATCTGTCTCCTTACTGCCTCCTGGGGACTGTTTTGGTTTGTCATTTGGCATTAACGTCCAGGAGTATATATCCGTGCTTCCAGACTTTGTTTTTCCCCAATTTCTCCGCTCATCCTCCTGCTCTGCTTCTCTGTGTGGCTGGCAGGTACTACAGCGCCACCATCCTGCAGATGTCGGGCGTGCGGGATGATCGGCTGGCCATCTGGCTGGCGGGACTCACCACCCTCACCAACTTCCTGTTCACTCTGCTGGGAGTGTGGCTGGTGGAGAGAGTGGGCCGGCGGAGGCTCACCCTGGGCAGCATCGCGGGTAAGACGGAAACAAAATGGCCACATTTTAGTCTGTGTTTTCACGTGACAACACTGAAAGGAGTCAGTTAACAACTTGTCGTCTCAAAACAACTCAACACACAACCATTCAACCAGCGGCAACAAAAGTGAGTGTGCCCCTCAGTGAAACGTACACCTTTCATTCCCCCACCCCCAGGCACGTTTCTCGGCTTGTGTCTGCTGGCAGTTGGCTTCCTGCTGTCGGCTCAGCACAGTCCTGCTGTCACCTTCCACCCATTAGACCCCTCCATGGCCAACACTACTTGCCTCAAGTATCGGTGAGTATACTGTACGCACAAAAAGGGACTACTGAGCCAAAATTACCGTATTTTTCCGCACTATAAGGCGCACCTAAAAGCGTTCAATTTCCCCACAAGCTGACAGTGCGCCCTATAATCCGATGCGCCTTATATATGGTGTCGCAGACTCTATATTCCCAATTGACTTGTTTCCATGTTCGTGTTCCGATGCCATCTGGTGGTGATTACTAGCAGGAAGCAATTGTAACCTAAAAGCGTTCTGCCCGACACGAATTAACATGTGCATTCGCCAACACACATTCAAACAGACAACTACTTTGTGAGCTCTGCGCAGCCATTATGAAAGAATACCAAAGCATAATTAACTATTGACTAAACGACGGAAGAAGGAGACAAGCAGGATATTCAGCCCCTCGTGGATGTGAGCCTTTTTGTTGTATCAATTGTCTGCATAACTTTTGTCTTTTATTTATTGTTTTGGAATGCCATTTGTATTTATGTCAAGGAATCAACCCTGTATTTTTATGGACTTTGTGTCATGCTTCGTGCTACATCCTGAGGGAGCTACATATGGATCAATATTCTGATTTCTTGGATGTAGCATTTTAAATATTCTGGAAAGTGCTTTGTTACAGCTGCAGCGGTTGTGAAGGTTGGATATTGTATTCCCTTTAGCGTAGCTCTATCTCGTGGCTGCATAACACAACTGCAATCAGGGCTCTATATAAATCAAGCTGTATTGTATTCTCTTTAGTATAGCTCCATCTAGTGGATGCATAGCGCAACCGCAACCAATTATGATATTTTGTGCGCTTTATTATGAAGTACGCCCTACATGTGAAAAACAGTTTTGAAATCGGCCATTCATTGAAGGTGCGCCCTGATAATCCGAAGCACCTTATAGTACAGTAAATACGGGTAGTTGTAAAGCGCAGACTGTCAACTTGTTCAAGCTGAATAATCGTCCCTTTAAGTATAATTCTTCCGTTTTGCTTCGAAGAGGTTCCAAGTCTAATCGCCTTTCAAGTGTGTCATTCAAAGGTGGAGAACTGGAGGCCCGTGTTGCTCTCGCATGTGCGGTGGTCACTGCCCGAATGCGTGGGCTCGAACCGTTTGTAGCAAAGTGAAGTCAGTGAAGCCGCAGCGGTGTTCTAAAAGCACTCATCTCTTTAATTCGTTGCCATCTTCCTCTGTGCGTGCGCGCGTGTGTGTATGATCGTGTTGCAGTGAGTCCATTAGGTAGTGGTGTTGGGATTGTTGTCTTGATGAAAGAGCGTTGTTGCTGCGGGGCTTCATTTTATGCCTAAGTGAGAATAAATTGCAACAAAAAGGGCATCTCATATTTTTATGAAATTGCGTGAATGTGCGTGTATGTGCATGCATGTCAAGGGTTTAATGAATACCAATGTGGAATCGGAAATTTGTTTGTCATTTCAAAGATTTGAGGGCAGGGGATCAAATCAAATCATTCAGTTTTGGAAAATGGACTGTCATTGATTTGTATCACACCCTGTGTAGCGAGATACGTATCAAATTGGAGGAGATAGATCGATAGACATGAGCCATAAACGGACCAGATGGTAAGCGGATCCCACAAATATCGACTCAGACTAACGACGGTACAAAAAAATATATACAAAGTGCTAACAGAAAGCGCTAGCAACACAGCACCAGGAAAAGCCAAAATGGTGGGGAAAAAAACCCCCGCATGCTCACGGCAAGGTAATCTTTAATCCCGAAAAACACACATAACGAAATGCCAAAAGTCCAATGACACGAAACTTAAACCATCCAATAATAGCAAGAAATCCCAAATACTTACATTACAATAAACTATCAGAGCAAGAGCGACAAAAATGACTGTGGCATCTCGAAACTACCTCTTGAGCAAACAGCAAGCAAAGTCGACAAATCAACAGTCTAGGACACTTGTGGGCTTGATTGTGAAGGAGAAACAGGTGCACCGCTGGAGAGGCACGCCCTCCACTCCAGCTGGTGCTCAAAAACAATTCTGATTAGGTGTACAAATATGTATGCGCTAATTGCCGCAGATGAGTTTCGCTTGTCAAACCTGGCTGGCTCTGTCCAGCCAATCAGAGGATGGAAAAATGCTGGAGAAAAAAAATCCTGACTAATACAGTGGCAAACAATTTAAAAAAGGTCATATTTTTATATATAGTACTCTCTAGCTTTATAAAAAAACATCAAGACAACATTTGAGAGTTTTTGTCAATTCACTACACAGAGAAGAATGTCACAATTCCCTCATCAGAAAAAGAAGTTCTTCGCAGAGGATAAAGAATACACGACTGAGTCCTGTTATTCTGTTATCTGCCTGCGTGTGTATGTTGTTTAATGGAACCAATATTCTTCCGATTGGGGGAAACTTTCACCGCTATTCCAGGTTGTGCGAGCCCTGCATGCTGGACCCCGCCTGCGGCTTCTGCTACCGCGAGAACGGCTCGGCGCTGCTCACCTCCTCCTGCGTGCCGGTCAATAGGGCCTCCACTGAGCAGGCGGCGTGGGGCAGGTGAGTGACAGGACGAAGGTGTGTATGGTGTGTGGAATGGTTTCAGACGCAGCACTCTGTGGGAAGAGGGGGAGGGTTACCTTCATGTATACGATATAAAGATCCAATCAATGTGCTTGCTAGGTGTTCTAATTCCAGCCAGATGAGAGAGCACACTTACTGGGCCTACAACTACTGCCCCACCTCCTTCTCATGGCTCGTCTTACTCGGATTGTTGTTCTACCTGGCTGCTTTCGCGCCAGGTAAGACAAAATGAATTATATAACCGCATTAACCTCATCTGAATACGGCTGTCCCATAAAAATGTGGAAGAAGTAGTAAAAGGGCAGTGAATAGTTTTCAGACGCACTGTAAGATGTTTCTTCACTCAAGGAATGGGTCCCATGCCGTGGACTATCAATTCTGAGATCTACCCACTGTGGGCCAGGAGCACGGGCAACGCGTGTGCAGCCGGAGTCAACTGGACCTTCAACGTTCTGGTCTCGCTCACCTTCCTCCATTTGGCGCAGTACTTCACCTACTATGGTCAGCTTCTAAAAACATATCTTTTTTAATTATTATTATGATTAATAAATGAGCTTTTGAATGATGGAAATGTATGTAGGTACCGTCCATGGGAACGCCTACCTATGCCTCCTACCTGTGACAGTTATCAGCGGGATTTTTCCTCCCGGCACAGGAGGGAATTGACCTTTCACAGCACTGGCAATTGATCCATTATTGGAATTATCGGAGACACATCCTGAGATGCCCCGTGGCTTTGATAATTGAGCTTGAAAAAGGTGAAAGAAGAAAAGCATCTGTAGTTGCACTTCTCCCGAGTCTCCCCACTCATCGAAGTCGGCCGCAGGTCATCTAAGTAAAAAAACAAATAATTAATTTAAAAACACATTTGTTTGATGGTCTGGAAATTAAACCAAAAACATTTTAATACATTGAACATAAATTGCCTAGATTGACTACTATTTTATGGAACTTCCACACAAAACCTTTCTTGTTGGCGAAAAGTATATGCTACGGTTCTTGCTATAGCTGGCTAGCGAGACAGATAAATAGATGTCTATGACGATCATGATGCTGCGTGTTTAATTAATGCCGTTGGGTTTTACAGCGGGGAATATAGAGCTTGCGTCTATTTCATTTAACTTCTGTCAGAGTGTTCATTGTTTGAGCGAAGGGGAGAATAGCCTCACAAATAGCCACACAAAATCTTTCTTTTTGGCAAAACATCTGCAATGGTTCTTGCTATAGCTTGCTAGCTTGTTAGCTCGCTAGAGAGCTTGCTAGCTCGCGAGGTAACGAGCTCGCTTGCTAGCTAGCGAGCTCGTTAGCTAGTACCTAGCTAGCTAGATAAAGATAGATAGATAGATAGATAGATAGATAGATAGATAGATAGATAGATAGATAGATAGATAGATAGATAGATAGATAGATAGATAGATAGATAGATAGATAGATAGATAGATAGATAGATAGATAGATAGATAGATAGATAGATAGATAGATAGATAGATAGATAGATAGATAGATAGATAGATAGATAGATAGATAGATAGATAGATAGATAGATAAGCTTATGTTAAATTATTAATTATTTTCATTTTATATTTGAGCATGATATTCTTTTGTGTTACAGTTACCTAGGTTATATTCTGTTTAATAATTGCTTAAACAAGTTTATGTTGATATTATCTGATTGGTTAAGGAAACCAGGAAGTGCTTGGTGTTTCCGGGAAGGAGGTGTGTTCTTGTTCGTTTGTTCGGAGGTGCAGACGTTGGGAAAATAAAACTGCCTTCAAAGGATTCCATCTCTCCTTTTGCCCATTTTTAAAGTAGAGCTATGCACTGAAAAACTACGAACCTCTCAACTTACAGATAGATAGATAGATAGATAGATAGATAGATAGATAGATAGATAGATAGATAGATTTCTATGACGATCATGATGCTACATGTTTAATTAATGTCATTGGGCTCTACAGCTGGGAAACGAGAGATTGTGTCTATCTCATTAAACTTCTTTCAGTGTGTTCATTGTACGAGCTACGTGTAGAACAGCCTCTCCAAGTATTTCAGAGTCTGTCTACTGAGATGCCCCTCAGCATGTTTTTCCATGTCTCCTTCTACAAAGGTGTTGAAGGGAAAAAAAGAGTTACAAGACAGTCACATCGTGTTCTCACGTCGACGTGCCGTGACATTTATGTCCTTTCTTTTGGCGGCTTCTCCCTGCAGGGGCGTTCTTCCTTTATTCCAGTATGGCCTTCCTGGGCTTCATCTTCATCTACGGGTGCCTGCCCGAGACCAAAGCTCGCCGGCTGGAGGAAATCGAAGCGCTCTTCGAGAACCAGCTGTGCTCGTGCGGCGCGTCCGACTCGGATGAGGGGCGGCAGGTGGAATACATCCGGGTCAAGGGGTCAAATTACCATCTATCGGACAACGATGCATCTGACGTTGATTAGACGTTTTGTCACATATGTTAGGTTGCTCTTGCTCTGTTTCAAATGTGAGCTGGGAGCCTCCTTGTGAATGTTTTACTTGTCAGCTCCTCCACTGAATCGACGCCAAATTTGGAGACAAATCTCAAGCTGTGCACCACAAATACGTCAAGTGAGGACATACTGTAATCGAAAAACAAAAGATGCGGTGTGTCTTCCTCTTGGATACTTGAACAAATAATGCTCACAAAGTCAATCGACATTGAGTCAAATCAAGTTTGTTTTTTTGGGGGGCGGGGCATAATGTCGTTCAAGCTTTGTAGTGTAGCACCCTCGCCGTCTTATTTATTTGGAGTGCCTCGCAGCTTCTATTTTTCCAGAGACGGAGTGAGAGTGGTCGGCTGAAAACAGCAAAACTAGTAGCACTCAACATGCTGTCCCTTCCGAAAATGTGAGGAGCTCATTTCTTGCAGTATTTCATCCGACAGTAAAGATAATCGTGCCTGTGTTTTTTTGTGACAGTGCCTCGTGGCCGCCCTGAGCCCAAAAAGTTGCGTACGATCCTTTTTTTTTTTTTTATCTTTGCTGGTCATTTGTGATTTTTTTTTCTGTCTTCCACCACAGCCTTATGTACAAACAGATCAAATTCATATGATCGTCACATCATCATGACCCATAGGTAGGAGTTGGCGTATTCCATTTTCCAAGTGTGACAGTACGCCTGTTTTTATGGTGAACTTGTTACGCTTTAGGAAATTTTCCAAAAATGTGCTGCGTATAAATGTGAACGATTGTACTGAAATAAATATTTGAAAACAGTTCTTAAAGATTCAATGCAGTTGTGTTGAACTTAAAGTGAAATACAACTTTCTTGTACTTTGCAAATGTTTTTTTTTTTTGTGTTTTTTTTTTTACCACAGTAACATGACGCACAGTTTGAACTTTCATCGTAATAAGTACACTGGCACAATCTAAGAAGTGGATCATGCTGAAAAATATTTCAAAATGTTTCTCCTCTAGTCTTCACTTATAAACTACTTGTACTACATAGTGGGGAATGAAAGTACCATCAAAATATGATTTGTGGGTTTTTTTAAGGAAAAAAAATATCATTTTGTACATCCATCGGCGTGTTCCATTTCCAGGCTGTGCAATTTCTGACCAACTTTTTGCTGTGATTGTTTCAGGCTGCACGTTGTGTCGCGTTCGCCTTTCAGCAACTGTGTTTAAAACTGTCCACAAACCGAGCAGTTGTTGTGCGTAATGTCGTGTTTCACGTGACTGTGCATTTATGCGGAACCCCACACATGGCATTTGGAAAAAAACTACTTTGGGCACACGATGTAACTACAGTATTATGTACCCACGAACAACTACGAAATAGTTACAACGTGCACACTAAGTAGCGCTGATCCCTTATTGGACAAAAGGGTATACAAATCGAGCGCACCTTCACAGACTCGCTTCTCACTGACCGAATCAGTTACTGTACTTCAAAACCCCACAAATTATTGCATCTGACGTTTTTTTTTTAAATTTTATTTTCGACTAACATCAAGTAGTGATATTATGATAAAAAAGTTTTCATTTCGTATACATCCACCGGTAATCATGTGCGTAACCCAGAGCGTTGAAGTTGCTAAACAACACAATCGATCCGTCGTCCGAGTCTTACCTCAGCCAGGAAAGCGAGCTGGCTTTTCAAATGTCTCTCGGTGATCATAATTCCTTGCAATGCCAAATTTTTCACGATGTCCTTGCAATTTATCGCAAGCTTTTAAAAAAATCGATCACGCTGTCCCTGTATATAATGTACCTTTGCTTCGATTTTTCAACTTTGAAAGAAGGTGCACTCGATTTCCATTATAGTGACCCGGAGGAGGCCATGACGACTTCGTGCGCACGTTCTATTTTGTACAGACGATGAAGTCGTCCATACGTACGAAGTAATAATTAGTGCCCACAAAGTTGTTCCTCGTGCGTACATAATAGTTACAGCGTGTACACAAGTATTTTTTGTTTGTTTTTTAAATGTCATGTCTGGGCTCTGTCGCGGCTCCGTACGTTTCAACACTTTTCGACCAAGTATAGAAAAACCACTAGAGTGATGTATAGTGTATTTAATTGTCTGAGTTGTAAAATGTTTTGCTAGAGTTTATATTATATTATGTGTGTGGGGAAAGAAATAAAATGAGTGAATCAGTCGTGCGTTTGGGGCTTTATTTCAGGGTTGCTATGACAACGGGGAGTTAACACAAAGCGTTTAATTAATTAGAACAACGTACACAGAACAGGTATGTTTTCTCGGCCTTATTATCATTCCACATTCTTTCTCTGTTTGAGCAGGAACAAAATGTCGGCTAATTCCGAGAATGATTCCCACCTCCGCCCTCCTTGCTACATTTCGGGCATTTTTTTTTCTTTTCGTCTCACGGACCAATTGAGATAAGTACGTGCTATTCGCGGACCGGCAACCATTTTTTAAAAATTGCTTTTAAATTGGCGGTTTGTCTCGTTTTTGACGACACAGCATGCACAACAGCTTCTTCCCCGCGTCACTCTGGAGATACTTCCGGGGGGGAGGGGGGACTTCTCTTGTCACAATAGCTTCATCTTCGAAAATTCGGAAGTTATGGCTGCACCTAAGCTGCGCGTTTGATGTACGTGTTCGTCAAATTGTTCGAATTACTTTTTGTGTACTTCTTTTTTTCCTTCATTGCCGCATTCAGTTTATTTAAACTTGCCAACCAATGTTTAGAATGCGGACTCCCGTTGAACAAAGAGTCGCGCACATTGCCGCGACGTCTGATGACGTAAATATGGGCAAAGATCGCCGCTGGTCGTGAGTCTCTCATCATATACTGTTATCACCAAGCCCTACTTTTGTGCCCCTTTGGAAGGTAATCGACGGGGTGGGTGAGGTGGTGAGGGTTGGGTGGGGTTTTAGTTATAATAATAGTATCGAAAATAAATCTTGGTCTGTCTCTGTACCAAATGGGCCTTGGCCCGGTCTGTGGCTCAGTTTTTGGGGGCCACTGATCTTCGGGGTCTTTCTCCTGCATGTCTACTGGGAAAAATGACATACAGCATTGAATGGTATTGGAGTGTCGAAAGATACAATTTCACCTTTTAGTCCAAGAATTGTTATTTTACTGCGGTAATTTTACAGATTTTGCGCATTATCTCCTGAAGAGTCATCTGCGAACTCAAAATGTCTGAAGAGTTGGATTTCTTCTTTCTCCAAAGGGGTTACCTCCCTCCAGGCTTTGCTTGGCCCTCTTCAGGAGCTTCTGTGAGGCCAGAGTGCCCCCTGGCGGATTCCTGCTGTAGCGACACAAAAGGTGGAGAGGAAGCTGTGAGCGAGCGGCACTGAGTGGGCAAATTTGAATTTCTCAAAAGTGGACTCGTGGACGGTGGTTTGAGTGTCAGCATCCTTTTTCTCTCGCTGGTGCCTTTCTTGCACGCACAAATCTGCGAGCGACTGGCGCTCGCCTCTTGAGAAAATCATGTCATCTTTCAAATAAGGGTCTCAAAGGTGGATCCATTGAACTAAATTCTGTCCTCCAGACTGGACACGATCGATGTCCTTCCTGCTCCCAACACTGCTGTAGACACGAGTGACAGAAGCTGTGACTACACGACGGTACCACAGAATACTTGAAGATGTTCAAACAGGACGGACATTGGAGATGGTCCTCCACTCTTCTAGCCATGGTGCCTGCGAAGACACCGGATCAATCTGCGACCTTCCAACGTTCCTTGTTGGGAGAGCCACAGTATGTTACCCTCAGTCACAAGTGAAGGAATTGCCAGATGTTGAAAAATTGCCCCCAAATTCTTTTCCTGCTTTGTTGAGCCAAGCTACTAGCTTCCTGCTTGACGGCGGCAAACAAACATGTTGTGATCTGAAATCACACACAAGCGCTTTATTGCCACTTGCTCTCAAACAAACAAACAAAAAAAGAACATTTCAATTCAACAAGCTCGACAGAATAAAACCAAAGAATCCAACACAAAAACACTGCAACAAAGTTTCCGCATAATGCTACGGACAGCCACAGGAGAAGAAAACAAAAGCAGTCCTGAAAAGCTAACTTGCTCAAAAAAAAAAGAGCTGGAAAGAAAACGGCAGCTTACCTGTCCTGCTTTTTATTCAATGTGCAGAGAGAGACGGTCTCATTTCGAGGTAGCTATTTTGGCGTTGTGAAATGCTAATGTTGAGTTGCTAGTCACGAATACATTAAAAACATAAAGAAACAGTGATGCCATTTTTGTTTGATGGATGGCCCGTCTTATCTGCAACAGCCAATCACGCCATGACGGAAAAATAAGGTTCGGTACGCAGGCTTGTACGCAACGAACACGTTATTGCGAGAATCCTGCACATTTTTACAAAGAGTAGCATTGTGTAATGTGGCAAGACGTCATGTGTTTTTTTTTTTTATTTTCACGACGCGATTCTCTCTTGAAGTGACATAGCTGTTGAAATGGGCGCCTCTGTGAAACACCCGAAAATTGCGAATACTTGGGCGATCGTTTGAATATTTTCAGAGGGTGATGTGAGCATAAGTAAAGATGTCAACATAAATGTGCGTGACCGTTTTGAGCAATTTTCGCACATTTAGGTGACGTCATGATTCCCACATGACGGGTTTAGACTGTCATCGTACGGCATGTGAGAAGGGACATATTTCATTTGCGTCTGCAACTCAAGAGCCATTTGAACCGTTTTACTTGTAAATTCTGGAACAGACAATTGTTCAACCCCTTCAAACCGATATATCAGCCCATCCGCCATATTGTATGTGGCTTTAATAGTATCCATACACTTGGCAAATATCATCTCCAAATTGAGAAAGATTAACATCATGTATTTTTTTTTTTTTTTTACAGTGGGACGCTTACTTTAGAGTCCAATAACTAAGGTGTATCCCAAGGGGCCTAATTTAAGATTTAAACAATTGCATCGCTACGATCTTGGATGTCGGGCAAAGGTGATGCAGCAGCAGAGTCGCAGACGCAGTTGTAGAAGCAGGTAATAACCTAAAGTACACATAAATGCAACAAAAATAATTTTATGGATCTTCATGCATCACAATGTAAATGTGTATAGTTGACATGAATTAATTTAAGAAGAAAAAACTTTATTAGTCTCGCAATGTAGAAATTCCCAATTTAATACCATTAATTTTAATCCCAATAATACCTTCAATTAACAATAATTTTAATAATTTAATTAACCACGATTTTTACACTATGTATTCTTATCGTCATAATTATTCATGATTCTAAAGCGTAAGAAACCGAACAACAGAAACGTGTCAATTGATTTCGAACAAAAGGACTACAAGTCCCAGCGGTCAAACCCGGAAGTGGAGCACCGTAACCAAATAACTCCATTTTTTTAAAACATGCCAGTGAGTGCAGCCGGACAAACATAACAACTATGCAAAAAATATCCATACACTTGGCAAATATCATCTCCAAATTGAGAAAGATTAACATCATGTATTTTTTTTTTTTTTTTACAGTGGGACGCTTACTTTAGAGTCCAATAACTAAGGTGTATCCCAAGGGGCCTAATTTAAGATTTAAACAATTGCATCGCTACGATCTTGGATGTCGGGCAAAGGTGATGCAGCAGCAGAGTCGCAGACGCAGTTGTAGAAGCAGGTAATAACCTAAAGTACACATAAATGCAACAAAAATAATTTTATGGATCTTCATGCATCACAATGTAAATGTGTATAGTTGACATGAATTAATTTAAGAAGAAAAAACTTTATTAGTCTCGCAATGTAGAAATTCCCAATTTAATACCATTAATTTTAATCCCAATAATACCTTCAATTAACAATAATTTTAATAATTTAATTAACCACGATTTTTACACTATGTATTCTTATCGTCATAATTATTCATGATTCTAAAGCGTAAGAAACCGAACAACAGAAACGTGTCAATTGATTTCGAACAAAAGGACTACAAGTCCCAGCGGTCAAACCCGGAAGTGGAGCACCGTAACCAAATTACTCCATTTTTTTTTAAACATGCCAGTGCAGCCGGACAAACATAACAACTATGCAAAAAAAGAACTAAATAAAGACACCACTATGATTGCAAGATTTTTGCCCACGCTGTTTAAACTGCCGGTTGCGAACAGTAATTGCGATGCAGAGTCCAATAACTAAGGTGTATCCCAAGGGGCCTAATTTAAGATTTAAACAATTGCATCGCTACGATCTTGGATGTCGGGCAAAGGTGATGCAGCAGCAGAGTCGCAGACGCAGTTGTAGAAGCAGGTAATAACCTAAAGTACACATAAATGCAACAAAAATAATTTTATGGATCTTCATGCATCACAATGTAAATGTGTATAGTTGACATGAATTAATTTAAGAAGAAAAAACTTTATTAGTCTCGCAATGTAGAAATTCCCAATTTAATACCATTAATTTTAATCCCAATAATACCTTCAATTAACAATAATTTTAATAATTTAATTAACCACGATTTTTACACTATGTATTCTTATCGTCATAATTATTCATGATTCTAAAGCGTAAGAAACCGAACAACAGAAACGTGTCAATTGATTTCGAACAAAAGGACTACAAGTCCCAGCGGTCAAACCCGGAAGTGGAGCACCGTAACCAAATTACTCCATTTTTTTTTAAACATGCCAGTGCAGCCGGACAAACATAACAACTATGCAAAAAAAGAACTAAATAAAGACACCACTATGATTGCAAGATTTTGACCCACGCTTTTTAAACTGCCGGTTGCGAACAGTAATTGCGATGCGGCAAACAAAGCATAAAGCACAGCGGATCCAAGACAAAGCAAACAAACAAAGCGAGCGCGCACAATTGAATCGAAAAGATAACTCGACATATCTGATAAAGCAGCAGCAGAGTCGCAGACGCAGTTGTAGAAGCAGGTAATAACCTAAAGTACACATAAATGCAACAAAAATAATTTTATGGATCTTCATGCATCACAATGTAAATGTGTATAGTTGACATGAATTAATTTAAGAAGAAAAAACTTTATTAGTCTCGCAATGTAGAAATTCCCAATTTAATACCATTAATTTTAATCCCAATAATACCTTCAATTAACAATAATTTTAATAATTTAATTAACCACGATTTTTACACTATGTATTCTTATCGTCATAATTATTCATGATTCTAAAGCGTAAGAAACCGAACAACAGAAACGTGTCAATTGATTTCGAACAAAAGGACTACAAGTCCCAGCGGTCAAACCCGGAAGTGGAGCACCGTAACCAAATAACTCCATTTTTTTAAAACATGCCAGTGAGTGCAGCCGGACAAACATAACAACTATGCAAAAAAAGAACTAAATAAAGACACCACTATGATTGCAAGATTTTTGCCCACGCTGTTTAAACTGCCGGTTGCGAACAGTAATTGCGATGCGGCAAACATAAAGCACAGCGGATCCAAGACAAAGCAAACAAACAAAGCGAGCGCGCACAATTGAATCGAAAAGATAACTCGACATATCTGATAAAGAAAAGCGGACACAAACGTAGCTCACCATTGGGGCATGCCGACGACGAAGCGAGTGTTTTATCATACGAAACAAACAGCGACGCCGATTTTTATAAATCGAGCGAACGGTCACGTGTCAGTGGCAGCCCCGCCCCTCTTAAAGCACCAGGGAAACGCAACAAGCAACGTAACGTTTTGAAATCTTCTTCCAGTGTCGGTCTTTCACATCGTCACCTCCAGATTGATTCATTTATTGCATTTCAAAACAAATATATCATGCCGTTGACTGCAAAATATTTTGCCATTTTTTAACATATGTCATTAGAAGAAGTTGTCATTTGTTAAAATGTTTTAAATGGTCAGTCCGACATACTCCATTTTTTTTTAAACATGCCAGTGCAGCCGGACAAACATAACAACTATGCAAAAAAGAACCAAATAAAGACACCACTATGATTGCAAGATTTTGACCCACGCTTTTTAAACTGCCGGTTGCGAACAGTAATTGCGATGCGGCAAACAAAGCACAACGGACGAAGACAAAGCAAACAAACAAAGCGAGCGCGCACGTTTGAATCGAAAAGATAACTCGACATATCTGATAAAGAAAAGCGGACATAAACGTAGCGCACCATTGGGCCATGCAGACGACGAAGCGAGTGTTTTATCATACGAAACAAACAGCGATGCCGATTTTTATAAGTCGAGCGAACGGTCACGTGTCAGTAGCAGCCCCGCCCCTTCTTCAAGCACCAGTTAAACCCAGCAAGCAACGTAACATTCTGAAAACTTCTTCCAGTGTAGGTCTTTCACGTAGTCACCTTCAGATTGATTCATTTATTGCATTTCAAAACAAAATATATCATGCCGTTGACTGCAAAATATTTTCCCATTTTTTAACATATGTCAATAGAAGAAGTTATCATTTGTTAAAATGTTTTAAATGGTCAGTCCGACAGTAAATAATGAATCTCACCTCATTCATTCCAATATGATCACTGAAAAAGTTAGCAGGGGATACCCTGCTTTTGGCTTGTTTTTAACCTTTCACCATGCAGTGTAAGCAACGCATTATGTCACGACGTCACCGAGTAGTTCATACACATTTGATTTTATTTAACTTTACCCCAAAATGACTGCTATCGGCAAATCTTGTTTTACGTCAACATCAGTCAGAAATAACAACCGTGACATACGTTCCCTGTTCCAAAAAGATATTTCAACAATCCCACACATTATTACCTACTGGTCTGGTTTTGTTGATAATCTACACTGGGGAAAAATCTGGTCTCTCCTATACAAATACCTCCTGACTAATAAAGTAAAGGAAATCTCTTTTAAAATGATACACGAATACTATCCCACCAAGCATTTTCTTCTTAGGTTCAAGAAGGACATCCCTGTTGAGTGTTCATTTTGTGGAATGTACCCTGAAACAATGGTTCACTTGTTCTGGCAATGCC